AAGGATCAACAGAAACGGACTTCTATTCTTTCAAAAATCACGTGCAAAAATGGTGGTTATAGGCTTCGCGCACCATAATACTTCTCTTATTTTTATGTTTTACAAATCACATATACACTACCTGGAAGAAAGTATCCAGACGCACCTTTTTGATAATTCCGCAAAATTTTACATAGCATAAAAAAAAATTTTTTACATCAATTTTTAGCCTAGGTTCTTACGATCATGTATATAAATTTTAATGTTTTTAGCATGTATTTAAAATTCTCAGTTAAAAAAAACCGAAATACAATTAAAATTGTAATAATGATGATCAACAAAATTTGACGAAAAATTTATTTAAAAATTAAAAATTAAATTCAATATTTTGTAGCCCATCCTTTATTTGCAATGCATGCCTCAATTCTCCTTGGCATGCTTTCAATTAAATTAAGATATTTCTCTTGAGGAATTTTTGACCACTCCTCTTTCAAAGCAATCTCTAATTCTGTTGGATTTTTAGGATGGCTATTTCTTTTTTTCAATTGCCTTTCAAGTTCAGCCCAAAGATGTTCAATTGGGTTAAGGTCTGGTGATTGAGAAGGCCAATCTGGTAGTACTTTAATTTTTTTTTGCATAATCCAATTTTTTACATCTTTGGCAGTATGGACAGGTGCATTGTCATCTTGAAATAAATAACACCTGCCATTAAATTGTTTTCCAATTGTTGGTAGTAAATCATTTTCTAAAATTTTTATATAGTCAAGGCGATTCATTTTACCTTCAACTTTAACCAATGGTCCTAATCCCTTTCCAGAAAAACATCCCCATACCATTATTCCACCACCACCATGCTTAACAGAAGGAACCATATTTTCAACGTTATAATGTGTACAGTCGAACCCTCATTTCAACAGACTTCGTTTCAACGGATTTTTGTTTCAACGGATTTTTGATTTTACCCCTTGATTTTATTAATTAAAAAATTCTCGTTTCAACAGATTTTATATTTAAATCGCGTTTCAACGGACAATGGATTTTTTGGTAGGATTTTAGTAATAAGTACTAATCGCATTACAATGGATTCACGTGATATACATTTTATAAAAAAAACCCCCACATTACTACTATATTAAGATTAATTTAAAATCCCTACTAAATAATAATATAAACAAATTGAACTAAATAATAATTAATTTTCCATATTTCTAAATAATGATTTTACATGAATAATTAAACACACATTACTAAATAATAATATTATTAATTTTCCATATTTCTAAATAATGATTTTACACAAGTAATTAAACACACATTACTAAATAATAATATTAATC